AGGTTGCTAATTGGTATGCCGTTCACCTTAATGCCTAATTCCGTATCTTCTAATGCTTCCGCAAATATATTTTCAACATATAAACAAATTTGGGAACAGCTATGACCTTGAAAATTCCACAAAGAATATAACTAAATATCTCTTTTCTTACTCAGAGTCTTTAAAGTATTTTACAATATTTTAGAATCGAAGATATCTAATTATATTATTGATGTATTGGATTTTGACAAGAGCTATGCATTATGCCTATTTAGTACACAAGTTTATGTGAAATGTTCAAGGTCATAGCTGTTCCCAAAATCCATTACCTCTACTAATTTATGCCAAAATTTCACCTTCGTTCGATTACAGTTACAGTGTGTTCCGAACAAAAATGTTCTTCATAAAAACGCTTTATAATGTATTTATACAAATTAAATGAAACATATTATTGTGTACTTCTTTAAGTTAACATTAATAGAAAATTTTAAATATTATTTCTACGCGTATATAATAAAATATGTCTAGTGGCTGTAATGCCAGTGTACTCGGCAAAGTGATTCTAAAAAAGAACACACCTATCTCCTAAATATTTCAGGATCGGCTATCGAGAGCTCTCCGTGCTGCTTGTGATATTGGCTATAGGTTGGTATCTTGACTTAAAACCGCGCGTAATTCAAATACTCGTTGCAGGTGAACGCTGTTTAAAAAACAAAAATATTAAGTTATAACCCATGGAGATTAGTATATTATAAAAATTATTTATAATGTGTCCACAGAAACTGTGCTAAGAAACTTAATTATTTTTATTTTTAGCGAAAGTTATTCTTCATTAACTTTTAAGTGTTTTAAGACAAGGAAAAAATTCATAGTTGTTTTTAACAGAGACAAATTCATAGGGAGTTCATAGAAAAGTTGACTATAAAATGGAGCAGGTTTTGAAAATCTTGAATTTATTTCATTTTATGGAATTTTCAAACAAGAATTTTGTTGTAAAAATTATTCATTAGTACTTTTACAATATTTGCGATCGTTATCCACATTTGAGCTAATATACGGACGTGTATTTAACACATCCGAAATTAACCGTTTTTCATCCATATTTGGCTTTTTGACAAAAGTTTTTTAAGTTTTTGTTTCTTCTTTGTAAAGAAAAACTGCAACTGCTTCTCAATTTTCTTGTTTGTAGGTTCAGATCTAACAGTATTGGGTAGCGATAGCGACACACTATTAGCTTCAATATGTAATATTAAAGAAGCCTTTTTTAAATAGCTGCAACATTCTTGTAAAGCCTTTACATTTGAAGATTCTCTTACTTGTTCAGATATATTTGTTAGCAAAGTAAAAACTTTTTTCTGCATAGCTTCAACTTCAATATTACAATTTTCATTGTTTATGTTTTGCATTGTGTTTTAGTGCATTTTAATTTCTTCACTACTTTCATTTTCATGTTTGTTTACTGTTATTTATTATTATGTAATCCTACGTAGTGTATATGTTTACATATTGTGTTATTTAAAAAGTAATCTACACGCGAACATTGGTAAACGTGCACACATATACTGCATTATTTGCATTGTAATTCACAACAAGGAATGTCGTTTACTTTTGTAACAGTATAAGTATTATTATCATCACCAAATGTTGATAAAAGCGTTTCATTTTCATTTTGATTTACTTCAAAAGATGATATTATTGCTTGATGATGTTCAAAGTTATAACCATTTAGACCATGTGTTAAATCTATGGCAATTATGTTTTCACCAAACTTCTCTAACATATGTCTGTGATTTATTCATAATTATTAAACAGAAATCATTCTGCTCAAGATTTTCATGTTCAATACCCTGCTTTTTATTCAATATGACAGCATTTTCCTCAAAACTTCGTTGTTCTTGCACCCACATGTCCACACTGATAGCATCATTTCCATTTCTTCTACCATCATCTGATATGCTTATACCATAAGAATTTTTGATATTGTATATATCTTTTTTTGTTAATAGGTGAATTCTTTGCAGATACTCCTGCTAATAATTTGTTTGCAACTTGGTTTTTATCTGTTTTTGATAAATGCAAATGTCGAATTTCATTGTCATAGTGGTAGTGACTTTTGTAATATGTAACCATACATTCTCAATTATTTAGTTGGCTTGATATAATTTGACTTGTGCAAGAAAACAATAGTTTTTCTGAACCTTGCACCTTTGGCAACCTTTTTCTGACCTCATCCTGAATAATGTTACCTGTAATATTGAAAGTATTTAGTAAAACATTTATTATTCAAAACGTTTTATGCATTACATTTCTTATAGCTTCTATTACAGTGGTAATAAGACATTTTAACAGTGCCATCATCAGTTGTCCTCAATTTGCATGCTCTTGTCAAAACATATTCTATTTTTTCTTTTTTATTTATATCCTCCAACCAATCCTCAAACTCTAAAAATATATTTTATTAGTTTAATAACACAATTTGTTGTACAAATACTTACCTTTAGAATCATTAAAGGTAATCTCTATCATTTCTATTGCTACGTTGTGTTTGTCCTGTATGTGTGTACGTAAATCCTTAATAAATTTATAAGAAATTGCACATTCAAAACACTTTGAATTAAACACATTTAACTCATAACTTATTATTTCAGTCTTTTTCTGGTTGTGAACGTTTTTATTATGTATATTCAAGCATGATTGACTGGAGAGAATTTTTTTACAAATTTTACACATAACAGCCATATTAAAAAAAAAAAGAAAATCGAAGTTCCTTGATTACAATCGATTACAACAGCTTTATTTAAATAGCAATCATTTAAATGGTTACGTTATGATTTTTCTTCGCGCCAATGCCAATGACAATGAGTGCCAGCGCCCTCAGTCGGTCTTCGTCGTAACTATTACTGCACGGAGAGGTCTTGATAACAGCTCCTAATATTTCGTGTATGTATAACCCGACAAGCGAGAGCTGGCGGGTTGCGCGTAGAACAAATTGAAAAGTGGAAGGGATTGCTCATTTCTATTGCAGTCAGCTAGGAGTTCACATCGTGTATAACCATTTAAGTACCTATACTATATACCTATAATCGCGATTAAGTACCTCTCCTATCTCTCTTGGAATAATTCCTTTTCTATTTTCGCGTAGCTCACCCGCCAGATCTCGCTTGTCGGACTATACATTAGATGAAGTGTAGCTCTGTCATTCACAATTCTTGACGCAATTTGTGATAGAATATACAGCACTTAGAATTGCTGTCTGAAGATTCTACAATGGTGGGTGAGAACTGGATATCCATTATTTCCTAATAAACCATTGCCCATAAATTCCCTATTTTATATACCCATAATATGCAAAAGTACTACTAAAATAGCTACTTCTAATAATTGCGCTTCCATATTGTACGACGTATATTATGGGTTATGTTACCCATGATACTATGACTAAGAAGATAAGACATTGCACATATGTCGTGAAGTCATTGGAGAGTTGCACGTTCGAAATGTCAGTTTTTTGTATGTATCAATAAATAATCTTTAATACATAGTTTGGAGTAACGATGGGTAACACACTTAATTTTTGGGTGTTGATACAGTAACACTGACGCAGTTTATTGTATCAACTCAGTGTGTCAACACAAATGTGTCATATAACACAGTAAGCCATTGACACTATCTGAAAGTTTGAAACCTTCCCTAAGCTGTAACATCTGTTTTGCATTTACTTAATAGCTATCTAGACTTGCCAAGAGTTGATCTTTTCACAAATAAAACCATTTTGGGAACAAAGGACACAAAGCGATAATAGATCAGACAGGTTGAAAACTTAAAATGTGTTTGTTGATGTTTGATTGATGAACTGGTTAGATATACTGCGACGTTGTCATTTTTTGACAGCAGTCCGAGATTTGCAGAAAAAGCTAAAAGAGTGAAAAAAATTATGGAGAAAAATATGCGATATTTTCGTGGGATATAAATCAATGTGATAAGAACGATTGTAGATAGATAAGCCTCGAGAAAACTGACAATCAAAGGATTTGTCTCGAAAATAGACAAAAATATTTTAATAGTTTTAAAACGTTCAAATTATTATTTGAACCTCACTGTTACAGAAATAAATGAATTACTTAAGTTTTGAGAATTTCACACTGAGAAATGAGGAACTGATTCACTCAATATGTTAACTCAAAAGTTATCATATTCAGTCAGCCTATGCTGAAATGGGAACCCAATACTTTGCGATATAATTCCTCGGTCGGGGGTTTACAACCAACTTACTTACATCACATAAGTACAGATTTCATTAGTTTAGTACTAGTATTAGTTCAAGTTCATTGTAACTGTGTACTGTGTGTGGTTTTGTGATCGTTTTACATTATTTCTTTTTTAATAATCATCATATAAATAAAATAATCTTAGACATATTTTAAATAAGTTGCCGCTTCTATCTAGACTGAAGGTACAGTTTTCAGTGATAACAACTTTGGTGAGGTATGTAACGTTTGTTATATTTTTAGATTTTTAGATAACACGTCAATATGGTACCAAAAAAAAATTGAAAAATGAAAGTGATATTTGGATGCATTTTTCTGAACAGAATGAAAATAAATTCAAATGTTTGTGTTGTGGGCAAATATTATTTGTTAAAAATAAATCAAATTCTTCTTGCAGCAAATCAAAAGGCAAAAAATCGACCATCTTCTTCTTCTTCGTCTAGCCATTCACGTCCACATCTGAACATAAGCCTCTTCAAGTCTTCCTTTCCATTGTTTTTTATTGTACGCTACTTGTAGCCAATTTTCCAAAAAATCGACCATGAGGTGTTAAATGATGCCCAACCTTCCACTTCAAAACAACCTACAACATTAGAATTTGTTGAATCTACATAATCGATAGTGCAACCTCATTCATCAACTTCTACCTCGTCTAGTATATTAAAAAAACCTCAAACTAACACCGGTTTTTTCCAAAGACCTCTAGCTATCAGCAAACAAAAAGAAATAGACCAACAATTAATTGTTATGATTATGATCTCAAAGGTAGCCAACACAAAATTACCCACACAAAAAGAAAACGAAGAGGAAAATATTGAAAAACCAATTCAAAATATACCATATAGGGAAGATCTACTTCAAAATTTATGGAAAGATTTTGACAAGGAAGTTCAACAGCACCAACAACCAAGCAACCCAACAGCGTCAGCCATTGTTGAGGTAGACATATATTTAGAAGAAATCATTTTACTGAGAAAAGATAGCTTCAGTATATCCCAGGCTCCTCTATTGTGGTGGCACCAAAGAAAGCACATTTACCCCAAAATTATACCGAATTATGAAGACTATGCTTTGTATTATGGCTACATTTGCCGTGTGAAAGGATATTTTTTAAGACCGGACAGATAGTCAACGAAAGACGAGAGAGATTAAAGACGAATAAAATATCTCAAGTGATTTTTTTAAGTTATAACTTAAACAATAACGAATAGGTAGGTGTATATTTTTTTTACTTTAAAATTTTTGTTTTGTTGCGTTAACCTAGATTTAGATTTTTTTATGTAGGTATCTTTATTCTTTCTTTAGCGTTTAATACCTCTCCACTGTTTTTTAAGTTACCTATAATTATTTAAACTATAACAAATCTAAACAATATTTAAACATAATTTAAACAATAATAATTTTAATTTAAAATTTTTTGTTTTTTGTTTTGTTGTTTGGAGCTGGATTTGAAATTTTATTTATTTGTTTTTTTATAATACAGTTTTTTTCTTTATTAGTCATTTTATCTGCATAAACAGAAATATATTTAAATTTATTTAAGATTTAAACTTATCTGTAGACACTGTAAAAATATATAAAACGTGGCAACCAGGTAAAATACAAAATAGTCAACGCAGTTGAAAGACACTGCCGTTTGGGTGAGATTCGAAGCCTCTTTCGTGTTGTCTCTTGTACCAAATCGCACTACTGCGGTGAATTGCATTGCTCGGACCGAAAACACTCGGGCGTTAAGACACTGTTACTGTATCATTAATCATGATACTTTATTGTTGCGGTGTCAATACACATGACGCACCGTAAAGTATCAGCACAAAAGTGTCATACCACACAGTGTTACACATGACTAGTTGGAGATATCCTTATGTGTACGATTATTATCATTATTAAACCTCTTAACTTATTTTCGTCTAGTAATTTCATCACAGAATGCATACAAATCCCATTAAACTTTAACAAGAATTCAAATTGTACCATAGCTTCAACTATGCTAGAACATAGCATAGATGAAGCTATGGTACAATATTTTGAAAGGCACCCTACGAAACAATTTATACGAAACAAACCCATTCGTTGGGATTATACGCTTCGTCTAGGTCAGGGGTGCTCAAACTTGAACTGCTGGCGATCTACCTCAATATTTTTAGACTACTTACGATCAACTCTGAGAGACTGCAAGTGTGTGTGATGCAGGGTTGTCGTACATACACGATACACCCTACCTACCTAGGTAGGGCGTACCGTAGCATATATAGATATTAGCTTTTTGCACAATATAGGTACATTATTTTAGTCAAGGTTTGGGTTAGGTTTAGTTAGGTTCTTCTCTACAATATCAATGAAAAAACTCATAGTTATTCAAAATTGCGAGTTTATTTGTTGTTACAAAACAAAAGAGTTACATATGGTGTTAAACTTAACTAAGGAGTGGCTTTGGATGTTGAAGCGTGGCACTGCATGTCCTCAGCATACTTTTCATAAGATGGTACGTAACCACTGAGTGCTAATCGCAAGCATGATGTCATATGATCGTCAGTTAGTCGATTGCGATATTTTGACTTAATTATCTTCATTTCAGAAAATGCAGACTCGCACAAGTAAGTTGACCCAAAAAAATGCCGTCAGTTGAAGGGCGATTTGCCTTACATTCGGATATTTATCTTCAGATATAAAACGCCAGAAATTTGTATCAGATACTGTAGCTTTCAGATGTATATCTGATATAATCTGCACCAACTCATTTTCAACAGAACATGAGTTCGTATTAAACTGACTTGCTATTTCAGTAGCTAATTCCTCAATGTTTTTACATGAAAAAGGATAACTCATAAATGATGCTATATTTTCCAATTTACTGCAATCATAAAAACGCATTTCGAATTGTCCCAAAATATTTGATAATTCAGCCTCATACGTATCATAATTCAACTGAGGAATCCTTGCTTTCAAAGACGGAAAATGTTTCAGATCCTTTCTTTTCAGTTGATCTATCATAAGTTGCAATTTACTTTTGAATGCGTTTACTGCGCTAATCATCTCAATAATAGTTTTTCCTTTACCTTGAAGCTCCAAGTTAACGGTGTTTAAGTGCATTGTGATGTCAGTCAAAAATGTCAACTCATTTAGCCATTTTTCGTTTTTCAAAATCTGTCATCACCTCTTTCGTCTAGAAAAGCTGTTATTTCGGGCAATAATTCTTGAAACCTTTCTAGAAATTTTGCGCGACTCAACCACCTGACGTCCGTGTGAAGAACTAAATCAGTGTGTTCAGCTGACTTCTGACTTCTTCATTAGCTCGACACAATGCCACAAAACCGTTTTTGTTTCCAGTCATTGCTGGTGCTCCATCAGTTGTAATGCACAATAATTTATATATTGGTAGCTCGTAGTTTTTTACAAAATATAAGAAAACGTCATATATATCTTCGCCACGGGTCTTCCCCTTCAGAGGAATGATTGTCAAAAATTCTTCCTTAGCCAACATGTCATTGAATACCATCCGAATAAAAATACACAGCTGGGCAGTGTCTGTCATATCGATGGATTCGTCGAACTGCAAAGAAAAGTATGTACATCCCATGATATCATGTTTTAGTTTATCTGCGATGTCTTGACTCATGACTTCAATACGCCTTGTGACAGTCGGACGAGATAACTAAAATTCTCTAATAGCAGACATGATTTCTGTTTTATTTTTAAAATCTCCAAATAAAGTCTCACCCGCTTCAATAAATGCTTCCTTCATCACCGATCCATCTTAAAATGGTTTCTTGGATTTCGCCTCTCTAAGTTACCACGCTTAGGTATTGCAACTGATTGCAAACAAATTTGATTAATAATTATAATAAATATTGAATTAATAAAATAATTAGGTAGTATATGTAAATATAAAATATGCTGTGTGGACAGTATTTTGTTGTCCCCACTTCTTTGAATTGCAATGATGCTTAGTCAAGCATTCTATGTATTTGTATAGTTCAGTATTAATAAAAACGTTTAACTCTGCTGACAGTAGTTTAGTTACCTACCTACTTATTAAAATTTTTTTTCTTCTCGAGATCTACCCAAAAGGCACTCGCGATCGACCAGTCGATCGCGATCGACCGTTTAAGCACCCCTGGTCTAGATTATATTATAACGTCTAGGATATTTATTATATTAAGGCAACGCAGTGCAAATACCAGCCTCATACAAAATGTTCGGTCTTGGTTCGTCGGTTGTTTTGTCTTATGCAGATGATCACGCTGGCCGAAAACGAGATTCCACCTTTTTTTCATCCATGCATCTATTAAATGAGTTAAAAACGTCGCTTTTTCGCTATAGGTACAATAAGGGACAACAGAACACTAAAATGCCCCATATTCGCTCCAACAGCTACGAAAAAGAGGAAAGGGGAACTTACGATTACAGATTAGATAAAAACAGATACATATATGCGACAGAAATGCATTTACTCGTATCTACAATAAACTAAATATTATATATAAAGGACAATAATTGTATGCTCTATGTTAGCAAATTTTAGGAGCAACATAATAGATAAAAATTAATAAAACTAACATAGGGGAGAGTGGTCCACAGTGAGACATGTTCCACAGGGAGACAATGCATTTTCTGAGAACATATCAACAGCGCTTTGCATGCTATGCCCACCATAAAGTTGTCTCGACACGTAGAGTCTACCGGCAAATCTTAGCTTCAGTTCGCTTGTTCGTTTTTGCGTGTCAGGTGGTAGTGTGATTTTTGCTCCCGAAAGTAATTATATTGTTCGTCACATCGACTGATATTATTCGGTTGTGAATTGAGTTAGTACTTTGATATTGGTCGTAAGTAAAGCTTAGGTATTTTTGTATGTAATTACGGAGCGATATTGCTCTTATTTTATCAAATTTAGAAAAAATATCACACTTTGGAGAAATTGTACCTGTGGGGTACAGTGAGACAATCCTTAGTGGGGCAGAATGAGACGCGTCTCATTGTACCCCATCGAGGAAGTTAGTTCGATAATACAAACTCATACTATTTGTTTTTTTTTTTGTATATTATGGCAAGGAATAGAAAAACAAAAGACTAACATTGCTTCTTTTTCTTACAGTCAAATGAGAGAAGCCGTAAAATTAGTCACAAAAGAAGGGTTTTCATTGCGAAAAGCAGCAGAACTGAAGAGGGTGTCATTTCAGACTTTAGTAAGGTAAATTGTAAAGGAAATGATGACGGTAGATTAGGTTTCGCGTAAAAAAATTTATTTTTTCAATAAACAAACATCTTTCTATTTCAGATACGTGAAAAAACAAAGGAATAACCCTGATATCGAAGTAACAATGAGACCTTTCTATTATTATATTTGCCGCCAAATTATGTCGAAAGAACAGGAATTTGCACTGACAGAATACCTCGAAGTGTGCTCAAAAATGAACTATGACCTAACAACTCTTGGATGTCGCCATTTAGCATACGAAATGGCTCAAAAATTAATATTCGGATTCCAAATAATTGGTCAGAAAGTAGAGCTGCCGGCTTAGAATGGATGATAGGATTTTTAAAACGATCACCTAACTTGAGCATCAGACAACCAGAAGGTCTCTCGCGTGCTACATCTTTCAATAAACATAATGTGCCAATTTTCTTTGATAAATTGCACAATGTCTTGAGCAGGCATGAAAACTTTGTCGATGGCTCTAGAATATGGAATCTAGATGAAACTGGAACGTAAACTGTGCAGAAACCAAAAAAAGTCATCGCTTGAAAAGGAGTTAAACAACTGAGTCAAGTAACTAATGCCGAAAGGGGGTCTTTAGTAACGACCTGCTGCTTCATAAGTGATTCAGTAAACACGATTCCACCAGCTATTATATTTCCTAGGTCTCATTTTAAACCGCATATGCTTCGTAATGCGCCAACTGGTCGTTTGGCACTTGCAACACCTTTGGGCTGGATGAACAGCGAGTTGTTTGTAGAAGTTATGCGTCATTTCATAAACCATACAAATTCCTCAATCGAAAATCTAACCTGCTTGTTGTTCGATAACCACGAAAGTCATATTTCAATTGAATGTGTGGATTTGGTCAAATCCAATGGAGTGACTATTTTAACCTTTCCTCCCCATTGCAGTAATAAACTACAACCAT